CCCAGAGCAGGAACTCCTCTTCACGCCGGAACGATCCGGCGTGAAGGGGTTAATGTACATTAACACTTTACATTTTCAGCGCTATATATGATTAACCTCCCTAGCGGTCTGATTATGTCCATATTTCTGTGCTCAAAGCGGTACATTTTTTTGCATGGAAATATATAGTTTTTTTTATTGTAGGCTGTAATTTTTAGGAATAACTCAATGAAATCTGTCCGAACAAGAGTCTAGTAAACATCCCGGGTATGATAAAATTTGAAACACGAAATCATAAATTATAATTTAATAAATAATCATAAAAATGAATAATATAATAATAAATTTAATTCAATAATATAATCAAACCCAAAACACTGAAATGTGAAATAGAGCGCCAAGTTCGCACATCACTGAGCAAAGTCACAAAATCGTTTTCAATGTCTGATGAGGAATTTCCCCCACGAATCATTATCACTCAATTCTGCAAGTGGTTCTGATTTACTATCGCTGTTCTCTAGCCGGTCTAAAACCGCTTTTGACCTAAAGGGACGCTTTTTGGACGCCATGGACGTTTCTCAGTTTTCAGGCAGAAAGAACAGTAAAAATGCAGGCAGGGCGCCGGACAAAGCACTCGGGACAAAATGTGTGTGAAATGGTTTGATACAGGAATGGAATACTATCAGATTTTAGTGTATTTAGTGAATGTCACTTTTTCACATTTTTAAATTTCCCGCCAGTTCCGTCCCCCGTACGTCCCGACATCGCAGGGAATGAAACCCAGAAGACAGATGCCGGCATCGGCCGAAATACATTGCCGGGGACACTGCAGGGGGGACATCGCGGGAGCCCAGGACAAGGTAAGTGCAGAAGAGATCCCGAGAGCAACGCTGCAGTGTATTCCCAAGTGTAGCTCGGGGTTACCGCTTCTGGTACTGAAACTTTACCCCGAGCTACACTCGGGAATCCCTCCAGGGGGGTTAAATACCACACACATATAAGAATTGAAGCAGCCAGCACAGTATCGCTATCAATACAAAACGCTAATAAACAAAAAAGTGCAGCGCTATACATTTAAAAGCACTACTAACAATAAAAAATAATACATAAAAAATTATAATGTCCAATAATGTGCAAAAAAATTGAAATAAACAAATGTCTTTAGTGAGAAATGAAAGTTCAAATAATTTCAGGGAAAATTGTGATTCCAAAAAAAAATATGCAAAAAAAAAAAATATATATATATAAAAAAAAAATTTAATAAAAATAAACTTTCTTGGTGATCCTCCATCACCAGCACCTCAAAAAATACTGCCGCTTACCAGATATATATGACCCCACAATTAAGTGGGGTCATATATGTCTGGTAAGCAGCAGTATTTTTTGGTGGATCCCCAAGAAAATGTATTATTCTTAAAAAAAATTTTGATATATAATATATTTTTTTTGCATATATATATTTTTTGGAATCACAATTTTCCCTGAAATTATTTGAACTTTCATTTCTCACTAAAGACTTTTATTTATTTACATTTTTTTCCACATTATTGGACATTATAATTTTTTATGATTAATGTACATTGCAGGGATTTTAGCAAACTTTGTTGCAGATTCCGACCTTTTGTCATTCTGAAGAAATAGCTGTGTCTATGTCCGTGTCCATGTGCAGAGTGAATGTGAATGGGAGTGACTTTATAATTATCAATCAGCTGCTGTACCTGCAGGGCTCTAATGAGGAAAGTGGCAGGATCTGCATCACTTTGTGTCAAGGTCCTACCTTTTCCCAGAGGTTATGTTACTCCATGTGCTGGCATCCATCTTGGATTTCTGCTGAGCATGGTGGGAATCTTTTATGCCTTCATGTCTCTGAGGTCCATCCCCCAGAGGGGTGTGGCTGAGTACATATAAGCCTGTGATCCGCACATGCTCTTTGCACTTGTGTCTTTGTCTTGCTACAACTCTGTGTATACGCTCGTGACTCTTCTGGTATCTGACTCGGCTTGTGACTAAGACCATTCTCTGTGTTTTCCTTCGATCTGACCTTCCGTTGCTGAACCCGGCCCGTGACCTGTGATTCTCTGTCTACTGTTCTGTACTGTTTTGTCCCGTTGTTGTTGACCCGGCCTGCCTGACTACGCTATTGTCATTCTTACCAGCTACACGCCATTGGCGGCGGCCATTACTGCAGCCGGGGTGTCTCGGGGGCCGCGACCTGGTTCCTGGCTGCTTCAAGTCCATCCCCACCATCAGGGGCCCTGGTGAAGGGCAGCCTGGGACTTAGACTCCGCGCCCTGAGGGACTTCGGTCTGTTGGTGGTGGGTTGTCGTCAGCCAGTGCATTACCCTGCCACTAGGCCTACCTGTCCGTTCCACAGCCCTGCCCTGACACTTTGGACGTGATTTCCCAACGAAAGTATCTCACTAAAAAAGGATATTTTTATTACAGGGGATGCCCAATATCTGACTATCCTCTTAGTGCAGACTTCTGGGAAAATCAGTGAGCCAATCACACAAGCAGGAAATTACATTTCTGGGGGATGTTCTTTACACTAGGGGTCTCCAAACTATGGCCCTCCAGCTGTTGAAGTACTACAAGTCCCATCATGCCTCTGCTTCTGGGAGTCTTGCCTGTGGCTGTCAGAGTCTTGCAAGGCCTCATTGGACTTGCAGTTCCTCAACACCTGGAGGGTCATAGTTTGGAGACCCCTGCTTTACACCATCTGTGTACAGAACACCTCCAGGTTGCCATATTGCATTTTACAGAAAAATACAGCATTGCAGATTGAAATTTTTATTTCCTATTTTTTTTATGAAAATTGAGTTACACTTTAAAGTTTAACTCCAGGAAATGTAAAAATTCTCCCTAGGGGCTGCACCCTTCTTATCTTCTTATTAAGATCCAGGGGGCATGGAAAAGTAGATTTACTTACCCGATTCTCCACTCTTCTAGGCATCTCAATGCTGATAGCCATTACAGCTTCTTTTTCCCCATGCTGTGCCAGTTTCCAAGGTCCTCTGACTTCATGAAGACCAATGAAGGGTCTATAGACCAGCATTTGACATGAGGGCACTGGGAGATGGACAGTCCACTGTCAGAGAATGGGGGAGCACCCTCTGCCAGGTTAGAGGAAGATCAGGCGAGTAAAATTGATTGTACCATCTCTTAGACTAAACAAGCACAGTGAGGCACATCCCAACATCAAGGGAAAATTTTCAGGTTTCCTGAAGTTCAGTTTTGAATGTGGGTGTGCAACCAATAGGCATCAGATTTAGATCCAGTGCACTCAGTAATCAGCTATCTGTAACAGACTTCTTCTGCAAAACAGGTTTATGTGAGGACACTTGAACTAAGAGGTGTGGTCAGGGGCATATTTACCGCAAGGCATACCTTATGAGGAAGTCGGATAGGACGAAACGCGTCAGCGGCGGTACTGTGCGTCAACCGGAAGTGACGTGAGTGGAACCGGAAGTGACGCGATCGGCTCCATTTTGTGGCACTTGGCGGTGGTGAGAGCACTGCAGGGGCCCACATAGCATTTTTGCTTGGTTTCACTATCTGCAGCATTTTTGAGCTTGAATTTAATTTATTGCTTGTAAGTGGCTATTTTGGCCAATAAAGAAGATATTTTGTACTGCACCATTGGGGTTCTCTTTTGTGTTTTATCCCTTACATGACCATTTGGGAGGTGATCACAGAGGAGGAAGAAGGGTGGCTGTGCATTATTTTCAATGCCTTTATACCTATTACCAACCAACCCATGGAATGACATCTGTGTATCCTGAAGACAGTGATATCTTGGTGTATGGGAGACAGTGATTGTTATCTTTAAGCGATTTAGCCAACCATGAGAATGGGGGGCATATTTATCTGGTGAGTGCACACCCAAAAGGGGGGACACATTATGTTGCACACGTGGTGAACTTTCTTGGAGAACTTGAAGAGTTTGTGGGTTTATTAAGGACTTTATTTAGGACTTTTTCACATCGAAAGTTATATTTTGATATTCAAGTTATATTTTCTTATTCACTTTATGATATTTTGCGCTACTGAACCACTTTAATGTTGTTTTTTTGGGGAAACAAGGCATTTGCCTAGGGCAGCATTTTTCAGGGGGGCAGCACTGCCCCCCAGAAAAAAGGGACAGAAAAAGGGACATGTGGCATGGGGACCAGGTGGGATCTGAGAGAGGCTGCGGGCTGCTTGATGGTGTATACAGAGCCCAACTCTCATTCCATTGATGTCCGGAGCTGTGAAGCTGTGAAGGTGAGTCTCTCTTGGTGTGGTGGGGGGGGGGGGGGGGTTGTTGTGTGTGTGTTGGTGGTCAATGTCAGGCTCTCTCCACAAGGGGGGTCCAAATTTTGGGTTGACTAGGGCAGCACAAAACCTAAATACACCACTGGGTGTGGTTTTTGCTCAGCTCTGCCAGTACAGGGCACTGCAGTGTGAGGGCTGAATGAAGACTTTTTAGTGAGAAAAAAAAGATATTTTCTAGAAAAAATGGTCACAAATCTCTTAACAGGAAGGGTGGGGTCAGAGGAATATAAAGTTGTAAAAAAGTAAGACTTCAAATGGGCTTTAGTGATTTAGTGAGTGTCCGGCAGCTAGGACACACTCCAGAAAGGAGCGACACAACAGACATCTGGGAGAATATACAAGAAGAAATATGACTTACCTGGGACTTTACAGACAGAAGAGAAGAAAGGGGATCACTCACTGGTCTGACTCATTCACTTATGTGTGTAAAATTCATCTTGAGCCGTTGAGCTCTGTAAACAAATGGCTTTTTTACGAGGGGAGGTAAGGAGAAACCTTAGACCAGCCTCTTTCAACAGGGGTTCCATGGAGCCCTCTGGTTCCTCCAGAGGTTGCTAGGGGTTCCTGGAGTAATGAGGAATTACTGCCTTTCAGATAAGTAACCAGAGACATCAATGATCTTTTAGCTAAATGTAAAGTTGTGTGTGTGTGTGTGGGGGGGGGGATTCTTTCTAATGACCACAAATGTAAAGAGCACTCTTACTGATCAATGTAAGGGGCATTCTTCCCACTGATCACCAATGTAAGGGACATTCTTCCCACTGATCACCAATGTAAGGGACATTCTTCCCACTGACCACCAATGTAAGGGACATTCTTCCCACTGACCACCAATGTAAGGGACATTCTTCTCACTGACCACCAATGTAAGGGACATTCTTCCCACTGATCACCAATGTAAGGGGCATTCTTCCCACTGATCACCAATGTAAGGGACATTCTTCCAACTGATCACCAATGTAAGGGACATTCTTCCCACAGACCACCAATGTAAGGGACATTCTTCTCACTGACCACCAATGTAAGGGACATTCTTCCCACTGATTACCAATGTAAGGGGCATTATTTCCACTGACCACCAATGTAAGTGACATTCTTCCCACTGATCACCAATGTAAGGAACATTCTTCCCACTGACCACCAATGTAAGGAACATTCTTCCAACTGACCACCAATGTAAGGGACATTCTTCCCACTGACCACCAATGTAAGGGACATTCTTCCCACTGACCACCAATGTAAGGGACATTCTTCCCACTGATCACCAAAGTAAGGGACATTATTCCCACTGATCACCAATGTAAGGGGCATTCTTCCCACTGACCATCAATGTAAAAGACATTCTTCCCACTGACTCCCAATGTAAGGAACATTCTTCCCACTGACCACCAATGTAAGGGACATTCTTCCCACTGACCACCAATGTAAGGGACATTCTTCCCACTGACCACCAATGTAAGGGACATTCTTCCCACTGATCACCAATGTAAGGGGTATTCTTCTCACTGACCACCAATGTAAGGGACATTCTTCCCACTGACCACCAATGTAAGGAGCATTTTTTCCCACTGATTACCAATGTAAGGGGCATTATTCCCACTGACCACCAATGTAAGTGACATTCTTCCCACTGATCACCAATGTAAGGGGCATTCTTCCCACTGACCATCAATGTAAAAGACATTCTTCCCACTGATTCCCAATGTAAGGGACATTATTCCCACTGATCAGTAATGTTAGGAACATTCTTCCCACTGACCACCAATGTAAAAGACATTATTACCACTGACCACCATTGTAAGGGACGTTCTTCTCTGGCCACCAATGTAATAGACAACCACCTTTCGATTGATCACAGACGAAAGGAGCAATCTCCCCACTAACCACCATTGAATGGGACATTCTTCCCTCTGGCCACCAATGTAAGGAGCATTTTTCCCACTGATCATCCTGCTAATGTACTGTGAGCTGCAGATATAATAATTATTAACAGCGGTTCCTTGAAACCGCAAAATTATTCCAAGGGTTCCTCTATGTTGAAAAGGTTGAGAAAGGCTGCCTTAGACCATTTCAGTATCTTTCTCTGCAGATGAGGACTGGGATGGAACGACACACCAATTGGGGTTAATTGCATTAACTATGTCATGTAATTGTTACATATGATGCTTATAGTGCTATGACTGTTATATGATGTCATTAATTATATATATTTTGTCCTAGTTTTTGTACAAACGAGATCCAAGGCCCCGAGGAAGCGTTTTTTCCACGAAACGCATCGGCCATTTCAGACTAGGATCTTTTGAACAGTTATATGGTTACATTCCAAGTGACATTCATTTATTGTTTTTTTTATATGATGTGTATTTGTGATACTAATATATGTGAATAACAAAATATTGCTTTTATGTCCTGATATCTGTTCTTGTTTTATACCCCAGGAGGTACATTTTCAGTCCCAACCCTAAGTGCTGTTGTCTCACATAAATATTGAGGGATGGTACCTCCAGAGAGAATATTAACCCTATACCCATCCTCCACACATGCTTTTTGATTTCATGCACTAATTCATTCATCAGGAGAGATCACAAGGATGACCTCTTCTTTATCCTGCTGCTCCTTAATTGCCCAATTACACACTGGGGCATACCCTGGGCCAGGCTGCATTGCTTGACTATGGTGGAGGTCACAGACCACATCACCGCTGAACACCATAACAAATACCTTAGCAGGTAAAACACTTCCACATATTTCTTTGAGAAGCGTACTTAGCTGGCTGCCTGAGGGGTTTGCAGATTAATATTATAAGTCTTTGTGGTCTGATTGAGCTATTTACTGCAGAACTCTGCAAGCCTCAGAATCCTGTGTGGACCCCCTTTAAGACCAATGTACACGTGGAGGTTTTTCTTCTTTTTAAGTACTGCTGTGCATCAACCCACATTCCGCTTGCTTCTCCACAGGTGCGGAGAAAGCTAAAAAGGAAAAAAATAGAGCAAGAGAGCAAAGAAAAAAAAAAAATCAATATTAAAGAAAAATCAATTTGAATAAAAGAGAAGAAGAAGGAAAAAACTTCAAGAAAACTTAAAGAGAGAGTATAAATCAGGGGTGGAGGATATTGCTCGGCCGGAGCCGGTCACCCCCTCCCTGTGCTTGGAGAAGTCAAGGGCAGCAATGAAGAAGCTTTGATGGTCTGTGAACAGCCCACAGACACCACAGCCGGCTGATTTATACTGCCTTTTAAATTCAATTTGTGTGTCTCAAATTGTTATTTAACCGGTTTCTCTCCAATGGATTCAGGCTCGTCCTGAACAGATCCAGCTTGGAGAAAAAGAAGCCGTCAAGTGACAGGAAAAATAAACAAAGTTAACTCGGGGGACAAAGCCTGGCCTCGGCATATAGTAAGGCTGGAAGAAAGGGTGGCCTTGTGCGAATGAGCCAGGAGGGGGAGTGCTGAGAAACTTCTGGCTCCTGATGAAGTTTATAAGGACCGTTCCTGATGAAGTCTATAAGGACCCTTCCTGATGAAGTCTACAAGGACCGTTCCTGTTGAAGTCTATAAGGACTGTTCTTGATGAAGTCTATGAGGACCGTTCCTGATGAAGTCTATGAGGACCGTTCTTGATGAAGTCTATGAGGACCGTTCCTGATGAAGTCTACAAGGACCGTTCCTGATGAAGTCTATAAGGACCGTTCTTGATGAAGTCTATAAGGACCGTTCCTGATGAAGTCTATGAGGACCGTTCTTGATGAAGTCTATAAGGACCCTTCCTGATGAAGTCTACAAGGACCGTTCCTGATGAAGTCTACAAGGACCGCTCCTGATAAAGTCTACAAGGACCGTTCCTGATGAAGTCTATAAGGACCGTTCCTGATGAAGTCTATATGGACCGTTCCTGATAAAGTCTTTAAGGACCGTTCCTGATGAAGTCTATATGGACCGTTCCTGATAAAGTCTATAAGGACCATTCCTGATGAAGTCAATAAAATCTGAAAAATATATTTTAAAAAAATATATTTATTTAAATATATAAAAAATATATATATTCTTCAGATTTTTTTTTTAACACTTAAAAAAGTCATTTTTACATATATTTGTAAATGCATTCCAAAAATGTAGATTTGTATATATGAAAAATATTTTTAAAAATACATTTCAAATATACTGTATGTCTTTAATAATACAAATCTACATTTTTGGAATGCATTTACAAATATATGTAAAAATATTTGTTAGAATGACTTTTTTTTATGTTAAAAAAAAATCTGAAAAATATATTTAAAAAAAAAATATATTCTTCAGATTTTTTTTAACATTTAAAAAAGTCATTTTTACATATATTTGTAAATGCATTCCAAAAATGTAGATTTGTATTTTTAAAGACATACAGTATATTTAAAATGTATTTTTAAAACATATTTTTCATATATGTTGTAATAAAAACGCATTTCAGCTTGCAGTATATATATAATATATATATTTATTGAATTTATTGAATATGGCCAAAATTGTAGTATTTAAAATATATGGCAATATATTTGGGAAGAATATTTTTAAAATATATTTCAAATATATTTTTCTTCCATGTGGGTGTGCATGGTTGGGTATGGTTGAGCAGGGTGGGGAGAGAGGGGCTATACTGGGCTGGATGGGGGGCTGAGCAGAGAGTACACCTCGGGGGGAACTGGCTTACCTCATCACCCTGTGTAGGTGAAACTGGAAATTCAGAGGGCTCAGGATGGGCCTGGGCGAGCCCTCTGAGTTTCCTGAATTACCTATGCAATTTGGCTTTTCTCCAGCATCACAGTGTAAAACCTAATGTGACAGGGAGGTTGCAAGGGCCCCCTGGAGCATGGGCGGGGTCGCCGTTGGGACCCCTGCAAACCCTCAAGCTCTGCCCATGCAGTGAGTTTATTTTCACAAGGAGATCTCTATGGATGATGGACACATGACAGAGCACCTTGGTAGGATGTGCACTATTGTTTGGAGAATCGGATTGTTGTTTTGTCCTACACGTTCTTTAAAGCCCAACTCCAGGCAAGTACAACAATGTCCCTTTCAGTGGGGCTGTGCTTGCATGGCAAACTTTAATTGTTCTAGGGAAACAAAAAAAAAAGGATTTATTTACCTGAACCTCCTCCTCTCCACAGAGCCAGTGCAGTCCCTGCAGCCTATTTTCCCTGAGGTCAGCTCCTGACGTCATTAAGACCAAAGCAGAGTCCTTAGTGCTGCATCGGACGTAATGACGTCAAAGGCCAATCTAGCATTGATGGAGCACCATCTGCCAGAGGAGCGGAGGACCAAGTAAGTAAAACTATTTCTCCTCTGCCCTAGAGGGATCACTTTTCAGCCAACCAGACTTGGGCTTTAAGAAGTGAATTCTATATGGGGACCAATGAACTTTATATTGGTAATAAACACTGAATTCTATTTATATGTTCCTTTATGGTATTTGCACCTGAGATTGGATTCATATTTATTTACATTTGTATATTGTATTTATATTGTTGTTATTTTTCTTTTTTCACTTTTAGCCCGGGTTCACATATATGCGGGGCAGTCAGGGGCGGACTGACCATTTGGAAACTCGGGCACTGTCTGAGGGCCCGGGGTCAGTAGGGGGCCCCATGAGATGCCCCTGGTACCTTTTTCATAGGCTTTTTTGAGTTTGGGCAAGGACACAGGGGCCCCATGATCCATTATTGCGGGGGCCCCATGAGTTGTCAGTCCGCTCCTGGTGTGAACCAGGACTGAGGGAACATGGAAGAAACAGGGAGGGTCTAGCTAGGACTGAACTAACTGGCACTAAACAGAAGGGGAGGGCAGAGAGACAAACCAATACCACATAGTAAACATGTTGTAGTAGCCCAAAATGCAGCACTATCAGTCAGCCTACTACAAAACCTGCTACAATTCAATGCAACAAAAAAAAAATTACATAGAGGACACGTGCCCTATTGCATTGAATGGCATAGAACATTACCGCACTGCAGATTTGAATGAAAACTTATATTTTAATAACATTGAATTATGAATTGGCTTGCGCAGCTACTACATGCGGTATGTTATTTTTTTATTTTTCATTTGCTATATTTTTTTTTTTCACCAAAGTGCAGTTACCCTTTAATCCTGGAAGGGATTATATAAGGAAGGGCTGTATGTATTCATTTTGTGTGACCAGGGGCGGACTGACCATTTGGAAACTCAGGCACTGCCCGAGGGCCCGGGGTCAGTAGGGGGCCCCATGAGATGCCCCTGGTACCTTTTTCATAGGCTTTTTTGAGTTTGGCAAGGACACAGGGGCCCCATGATCCCCTATTGCCCGGGGGCCCCATGAGTTGTCAGCCCGCCCCTGTGTGGGACATATCATACCTATATATTGTGCAGCTGTTACAGGATCAGATTTTAGCGAAGAGCATTGCCTTTTTTAATGAAGAAGCTTTGATGGTCTGTGAACAGCCCACA